GATGTCGAGGTGAAAAGCCAAGTCTATTGAGAGACCTTTCCGTGTTACAGCACCCAAACCTTGGAACACGTTAATTCTTACCGCTAGTAGACTTGTAGATTTCAGTAGACGAAGAGTCACACCTATCAAAAAGAAAACGCGTCACCGCGCGAACAGATCCAAACTTCAACGAAACGGATGGCTTTGTCAAAAAGTTCAAACTCCAGCAGAAAGAGACATGAGGAAAAAAGACCATTATGATACGATTTTTACCTGTGAATTTACCAATAAATTTCTAGAATAAAATATTTAATTTGAGAATTAACGTAATTTAAAATACCATACTAAAAGAATAATAATAGGCCACTTGCACTAATAAATGTCTTTTAAAACTAATAGTAATAATAATAAATGTTTTTATTGAATATACAGGTAAAAATACATACCTATATTTACATGTTTAATATGATTAGTTAAAAAGTAAAAGTATATTTAAAATACAGTCTATTAATAAAACTAGCTCTAAACCGTTCCGTGTTAACACAAGGTAGTAGGCGTGTTTGAGTTCTCAGACGTTCCTTTAAACAATGATTTGGAATCTTGCTGATGCCAAAACTTGACAGAGCACATAAAAGTTATCTTACACCCGAAATTTGAGAGGAAACTAATTTAAGGGACATATTTTATGGCACTTTGATTTTTCAACAAAGTAATACATTTGCATTGGCCGCCATGTTGGAAGGCATACTCTTGCCCTCCGACATGACGGCCAAAACTACTTTTTGTTTATATCTTGTTAAACGTTTGATAGTTACGCTCAGTTGTGTTGTAAACGTTACCACATCATCTTTTCATCATTTTTCTTGATTGAAGTTTAACTGAAAAATTTGTGTTTAGAAAGAGGTAATTCATAATTTTAAGAATCACATTTTGGTCACGTGATCAGCTACGAACTTACTCATTTTAAGAAACTGGTGCGGGTTTGAAAAACCAAATCACTATTATTTTGTTCAATATATGACCTACTAATCGTTTTTCCAAGGAAAATCATATAACTTTCATTTTCATAAAAGCGATGTCACATGACCACTTAGTGGAAATCCGTATTGAAAGGTCATACTCAGATAACAATGTTTGAGGATTTTGCTATTTCTTTAACATTTGACATTAAATTAAAGAGCAACTTCATTCTCTCACGCTGACATTCAATGAAACCACGATAAAATTGACTGTAAATTTCCAATGTCTATCTGACTTGTAAAGTACACTCAATAACAAGGGAAATACGGGTTCTTCTCAGTGCAAGCTGAACTTT